GAAACAGCTGAGGCCACAGCCTAGTTGTTTAAAGGGAAAGAGAATTCGTCTTGAAGAGGCCTCTCAAGAGCATTTCAGCACTGATCTCCAGTGAGGGAATCGAATGATCCTTCTGATGACCTGTCTTTAGGGCCAGCCTTTGTGACAGCTGTAAAATTAAAGAGTCAAATTGGAGAGTTCCCTTATAAAATAGCCTGCTGTGTGGGTTTTATTTCCCTGGCAAGTGGGTGTGCCCTGGGAAGTGCAAAGCTGTCAGGGTAGTGAACCTGTTCCTGACACTGGGACATAGTTGAGAGAGGCAGATTTTCTGAAACCCATAGCAAGATAGATGAATGGCTTATGATTTTTAAAAATGATGTCGTATCCTTTTTTGGAAAAAAAAAAAAAAACCTCTTAGAGCATACATAGGTAATCACATTTATTGAAAAGAAAGAAAACATTGGGGGTGATGTCATCACCATTGATGTAGTGGAAGCCAGTGAGGGAGAGGCCAGCAAGGCAGAGAAAAGAATACTTTTCCCAGGTGCCACACCCAGGTAGCTACTGAAGCCTAGATAGAGACTGTTGCTGGAGCTAAAACAATGTCATCCAGAGGACAGAGGAGAGATAGCCGATCAAGGCTGTAAGACCCAGAGAGAGCAATGCTGAGAGCAGAGACTAAGTGAAAAGTAAAAATTAGACCCTCTCCAGGAGATTATCATCCACATCTCACTGACTTGAATTTTGCAAATTATGCCCTATTTTCTCTTTCTTGCACCTTCCTCAAACTTGCGTTTTCTTATAAATGCAAATTAGCTACATAGATATTAAAAGTTCATTTATACTAAAGCATGAATGACTATCCAAAGCTGATAGGTACCCTCATTTGGAAAAATAAATTTTATTTATCCAAAACAGTAGAAAAAGAACTGAGATAATTGGAAACTCTCCAGTAATGGTGCGTATCTAACCAAAGAGGGAAGAACTCTACAAGGACAGAAAAACTGAGAGAGTTGGGTCATTAAAGAACAATCAGAGAAAGGGGACTAGAGCCAGAGAGGGAACAGGCGGAGTTCCCAATATGGACTGAATTAATGTGTAGCCAATTAGAAATAACAGCTGTCAAACCGGAAATCCAAATTACCACATTTGTCATTTCTGTATCACAATTCTTGGAAAATATCTAATGAATGAGATAAGGTGATTGAAAATTGCCATAGGCTCTTTAAAAAAATATCTATTTATCTATTTGGCTGTGCAGGGTTTGTTGTGCACACGGGATCTTGGATCTCTGTTGTGGCATGCAGGTCTTTAGTTGCAGCATGTGGGATCTAGTTCCCAGACCAGGATCAAACCCTGGCCCCCGGCATGGTGAGCACAGGGTCTTAGCCCCTGGACCACCACGGAAGTCCCAAACTGCTTATGGGTTCTGCTGGTGAGAATGAAACATCTCAGTGCATGCAATCCCAAATTCATATACTTGTGAAGTTCTCTTTCTAAGTTGTAAATAAACAACTCTGCTCCAATCCTGGCTGTTAACAATTCTCTCTTGGCAGCAAGACATCAACTGACTCAGCACTCATGTGGAATATTTTGTGAGTAGTTGTCATTTGATGGGCTGAACCACCAGTGGAGAGCTATGCTAATGGGTGGTGTCACTTGATTCTTTTTATCTTCCTTTTCATTTGGGGGGAGAGATGCTGAAAGGAAAACAAAAACCCAAACATGTCCTCTTATTTTTTTCAGTACTCTACAGTTCACAAAGCATAACACAAAATACCTTATTTGAACCTTAGAGCACCATTTATATTTTCCCACTGAAAACACTGGGGCTCCGAGAGAGAGGGTTGGTTCCCTCCATGGCAAGGAAGAGGCAGAGCTGCATGCACATGCAAGTCCTCTGGACCCCAGAGGCCACTAAGCCACAGCCCTTTGAGCTCCCATCCCAAAATGTTTGTCCAGTGAAATCTGTTATAAGCAGACTATTTGATATGGGAAGCAAAATACAGAATTATCCTTCTGTCTGACATCTGCCAATTCACTAACTCCTGTCTCTAAAAATGAATGATGTTCATAGATGATTATGAAGAGACTATTAGGACTTAAACACTGTCTATTGCCACTGTAATAGTCATACTTACGGGGCTGTGCTAGGCACATAAATCAGGCATGCTTTTATAGCCAGAAATAATTTACTGCATAACGTCTGCCAGTAAATTCAAGCATATGATGATCCTAAATGTGTCTCGTCCGGAAGTAAACCATTCAGCTGTAGAAAGGGCATGATATCTATAAATAAAAGCACCTACCTTTGCATCAAGATGAATCTCCATGATCGTTTCTTTCCTTCTGGCTCCTGTCCCGTTGTAAATGGGGAGTCTTGTGGGGAGAAGGGGAGAAGCCCTTGGTTTTGCGTCAGTTCTCCAAGATTCACAAGTTCACGGTTATCTGGAATGAAGTTTTCACAGTGAGCTCTCTACCTGTCCAGAGATACTTGTCAAGTTTTTGCTTGTTGTTGTTTTAGCATGTTGAATATAATTCCCTGTAGAGTAGGGACTTGCTGTTTATCCATCCTGTATATATTAGTTTACATCTGCTAATCCCCGACTCCCTATTCTTCCCCTCTGCCACCCCCACCCCAGAACCACAGTTCTGTTCTCTACGGCCCGGAGTCTGTTTCTGTGTTCTGGATAGGTTCATTTGTGTCACATTTTAGATTCCACACGTAGCTGGTATCTTAGTGTTTGTCTTTCTCCTGATTTACTTTGCTTAGTATGGTAATCTCTAGGTTCATGTTTGTCTGTTTTTATTTTCAAAATTCTGCACTCTCTGGAGGGGAGTGTGGGGGTTTCCCTGTTTACTGCTTTTTGGTCTTTTGCTTCAGGCAAATTTGTGTTCTTTCTTCAGTAGTTTCAACCTACTGAGATCGACTGGAATGTTAAGATTAATCCAAAAAGAAGCATCAATATGTGGCAGTATCTTCTCTCTAGAATGCCTCTCTTTCCTGTGACTGGGGAGTACAAAGATACGTTATAGATTTCCTGTAGAGTGGTCTTTTCTCTTTTTTAAACTTTGTGGAAACCAATCCTTAGATCTGTGGATAAAAGCTTTAATGTCCAGGGACCCCCTTTCTTCCTTGGAAATTTGTATCTTAAAAAAATTCTTCAGATCAGAGCATAGGTTGGCTTATATTTAGAGGCAGAGAAGGACTCATGTTAGGAGGTTGAGAAACTCTCCAAGTATTAATAAAATAGCCTACAATCCTGTCATTGTTCTCTCACATGGGAGAGCAGAGAGAAACCACAGAAATCTCCCCAACAGATTGTAGCAAAAAGAAAGTCACAATTTTCAGTTAAAAGGTTTCCTTGGATAGAAGTTTTTCTTTATAGGAATGCTACATTGTTTCATCTTATTTTACATCTCTGGCATATTTTGCCTGTTTCAGTGATCTGCCAGTCTGGTTATAAAGGCTCAGCTGCTGGGAAGTTGGATTTTGCATACCACTTATTAATAAACTGAATTGAAATGCCTCCAGTGAAGAACAGTCAGCAGGAGACTGGGACTCTAATTCTATCACCATCTCACAGTGTGACCCTGGGAAAGACGACTCCTCTTTCTGGGCTTCATCTTCCTTTTCAAGAAAATGCTAAGATTGGCTTCATCCTCCATAGAGCATTTTGTCAGGAGGCAAGTTGAAAGGAATGTCATGGATAGTCATTGATGGTGGCTTTCCCCTGCAGGTGCCTTTAGCATTCTTCACACCCCCTTGATATCACTGCATCTTTCTATGGATTTTTTAACCTGGGGTATTTGTTTCGGGGCTCTTCAGGAGCCTCAACATTGTTGCAGAAAAAATGAATATCTAGATTGTTTCTTTCTTTAGCAGTAACACAGCAGGCATTTGTATTGAATTTTCAATTTATAAAGGATTTTCACATTTGGTATCTCATTTATCCTCAGACACTCACTGTACTGTAAACTAAAGATAGTGTGTAGAAAAGACACTGGCACTCCTTCCTAAAAGGTCTCAGTAATATTACCTGGGCAACCTAACAATTTGAGCAGCTAATAAATATGCCCGTAGACAGACATCCATCCATCCACCCATTCTGCCTTCATTCCTTCCACCCATCCATCCATCATCTAGCCTTCCTTTCATCCATTTGTCCTTCTGTTCTCTGACATAGAGAACATATTCCCTGACACAGAGAACATATTCCCCAACATGAGGGTGACCCTTGACCTCATATATCTTTTTTCCTTCTTTTAAAAAATATGTTTAAAACTTTTACATTTAATAAAATTCACTCTTTTTTGGTGGACAGTCTATGAGCTTTGACAAGTGCATAGAGTTCTTGTATCCACCACCAATCCTCATAAAGAGCAGTTCCACCACCCCAGCTCTCTCCAGAAAAATTCTCTCCAGCTACCTCTTTGTAGCCAGACCCTGGCTCCATCCCTACCTTTTGGCAACCACTGATCTGTTCCTTGTCCCTGTAGTTTAGACTTTTCCAGAATGTCCTACAAATGGGATCACAGTATGTGAGTCTGGTTTCTTTCTCTTGGTGTAATGCACTTGAGATTCACTTGTGCGGTTGCAGGGATCAATAATTGCTCTCCCTTATTGCTGAGTAGTTATTCCTTGTATGAAAGTATCAGTTTTGTTTTGTTTTCAGTTCATTCCCCAGCTGAGGGATATTTGGGTTGCTTCCATGTTTTGATGCTTATGAATAAAGCAGCAGTGCACATTCATCTAGAGGTTTTATTGTGAACATAGAGTTTTGTTACACCGAGATAAATATCCAAAGTGGACAACCAGGTTGTATGTTGTTTCTCTTGTTCTTTTACTTGCTTATTTATGTGTTTATTTTTTAGATAACATCAATTTATAATATTATATATTTCATGTAGGCAGCATTGTATTTCGATTTCTGAACGCCTTACAATGTGCTCACCACCAAAAATTTGATTTCCATCCTGTTTACCCATTTCACCCTCTCTTCCAGCCCCTGCTTCCCGCCATGGTGGCCATTACTCTGTTCTCTGTATCCATGTGTTTGTTTTCATTTGGTTTGATTTATTCATGCATTTTGTTTTATTTGTTAGTTTTTTAAATCAATTCTTTTATTGAAGTGTAGTTGGTTTACAGTGTTGTGTTAATTTCTGCTGTACAACAAAGTGATTCCGTTATGCATAGATACACATTCTTTTTTAAAATATTCTTTTCTATTATGGTTATCATAGGATACTGAATATAGTTCTCTGTGCTGTATAGTAGAACCCTGCTGTTTGTACTTTTTTATATGTATATATATATATCACACATGTTGTTGACAGTAACCAATAAGCAATCTATAATAGGAATAGAAAAGAGTTTTATTTAGCCAAACTGAGGACTATAGCCCAGAAAACAGACTCTGAGAAACTGCTCTGGAGAAGCAGGGTTTTTCAGCACAGTTTTATATCTTGTCAGAACAAAGAACATCAAACAAGTCAGGGATACATTCTTTCAAGCTTTCACAACAGCAGATCAGTATGTGCCCAGTGAGTCTGAGTGGCCTTGGCACCTGGGAGGCGCGTCTTATCACCAAAGGAGAACCAGCATTTTTGTCCCAGCAAAGGAGGTATTTAATCTTTATTTTTAACATGGGCATCCTTTACTTCTAGTTAATATGCCCTTTCCTTTAGTAATTAAAGAAAATGTACAATGTATGTTTAGTATTCCAAAATAGGTTATTTCAGTCAGCATAAAGTGTAAGTGAACTCATATTTTATTTTTATTTTATGTTCACTTGACATCCCTATAACTCAATATGTGAAAATTTATTACACATATGAGTGAAATCATACAGTCTTTGTCTTTCTCTGTCTTATTTCACTTGGTAAGTGTAACTTTAGAAAAAACTGCCAAAATGTTTTTCAAAGTGGCGGTGCTATTCTCACCAGCGATGTACAAGCATTCCAGTTGCTCTAATTCTTCACTAGCACTTGGGATCATTAGCTTTTTGTGGTGTGAATGTGTGTGTGTGCGCCATGCTAATAGGTATGTAGTACATCATTGTAGTTTTAATTTGCAATTCCCTAATGACTAATGGGCTTCCCTAATGACTAATGGCTCAGATGGTAAAGAATCTGCCTGCAGGAGAAGGAAATGGCAACCCACTCCAGTATTCTTGCCTGGAAAAGTCCATTGATGGAGGAGTCTGGCGGGCTTAAGTCCATGGGATTACAGGACTGAGCATGTGTGCACGAGGGTGGAGGGAGATGGGTTGGTAGCAATAAAGTGGTAGAACTAAAAAAAAGAAAGAAAAGAATCTGCCTGCAGTGGGGGAGACTGGGATTCGATCCTTGGGTCAGGAAGATCCTCTTGAGAAGGAAATGGCTACCCACTCCAGTATTCTTGCCTAGAGAATTCCATGGATAGGGAATCCTGGCAGGCCCTGTTGATGGGGTGACTAAGAATTGGACGTTACTGAGCAACTAACGATGACTAATGATGTTGAGCATCTCTTTATGTGCTTATTTGCTATCTGTATGTCTTATTTGATGATTATTAAAATCTTTCACCATTTAAAAAATGAGGCTGTTTATTTTCTTTGTTCTACATTTTGAGAATTCTTTACATATTCTGGAGACAAGTCCTTTCTTGGATTTGTGACTTGCAAATATTTTTCCCAGCTTGTGGCTTATCCTTTGATTCTCTTAGTAGTGCCTTTTTAAAAAAAATTTTTTTTATTAAAATAAATAAATAAATAAATACATGCATTTATTTATTTGGCTGTGCCAGGTCTTAGTTGCAGGACATGGGATCTTTTAGTTACAGCATGCAAACTCCTAGTTGCGGTATGTAGGATCTAGTCCCTGACTAGGGATTGAGCCTGTGTCCCCTGCATTGGGAGTGAGGAGTCTTAGCCACTGGACCACCAGGGAAGTCCCCTTATCAGTGTCTTTGCAGAGCAAAGATTTTTCTGATAAAGTCAAATTTTCAATTTTTAACTATAGATTGTGCTTTCCATGTGGTGTCTAAGAACTATTTTCCTGATCCAGGTTCACAAAGATTTCTCCTATATTTTATTTCTAAAGTTTAAAAGTTTAACCTTCCACACTTTGGTTTATGATCCATGTTGAGTTAACTTTTGTGTAAGATGTAGGTAGGTTTCATATATATTTTTTTGCGTAAGAATGCTCAGTTGTTCCAGCATCGTTTGTCAAAAAGATCACCCAGGGAGTCTCAGTGTAATCACAAGGACACTTGCAAGAGGGACGCAGGAGACTCAGAGTCAGAGGGAAGTGAAACAACGGAAGCAGAGGTGGGTGTGAGGCCACTGCTGTGAGGGGCCACAAGCCAAGGAATACAGGGACCCCTAGAAGCTGGAGAAGGCAGGGAACTGATTCTCTCCCAGAGCCTTCAGAAAAAAACATGCTCCTGTCTGCCAATACCTTCATTATAGCCAGTAAGACCCATTTTTTTATTTCTGATGGCTGTAATTGTGTTGTTTTAAAGCCACTAAGTTTGTGGTAATATTTTATGGCAGAAACAGGAGACTAATACGGAGAGTACCATTGAATTGTGCTTGCACTTCTGTCAAAAGTCAATTGGCTATTCTGTAATACTATTCCTAGATTTTCTATTCTGTTGCATTTTTCTATGTGTCTATGTTTTTGCCACTGATATCTTTTTTTTTTTTCTTTTAGTCTGCCCTGAATTCTGTTATTTTCCCTGCTTCATAGCTTCAGGATACGGAAAATTTGGTCAACGGTAGCAAGAAGGAAACACAGAGATAAACATCAGAAAATGACAAGTTTCAAGGTATCCATCTGTCATAGTTATCTACTGCTGGGTAACAAATTATCCCAAATTTGGTGGCTTAAAGTAAAAAGTCTTATTGTCTCTCAGTTTCTGAAGGTCAGGAAAATCTGGAAGTGGCTTAGCTGGTAGTTCTGGCTCAGGGTCTCTCGTGAGGTTGCCGCCAAGCTGCCTGTCAGGGCTATACTCGTCCTGAGGCTTGGCCAGGGAGGACCTACTTCCAAGGTCACTCATGTGGCGGTCAGCTGGCCTCCAAAGACCTGCTTCCAAGATGACTCACATAGTGGCTGGCATGCTTTAATTCCTCTCTGTCTGCTTCCTGGGTGTCCTTCTGACATGGCAGCTGGCTTCTCTAGTGTGAGTGATGAGAGGCAGAGAGAACATTCACCTAAGACAAGGAACCACTGCCTTTTTATAACATAACCTTGGACTTGATGGCTCATCACTTCTGCCAATGTTTTCTGCCCTAGAAATGGGTCACTAAGTCCATTCCACACCCAAGGGGAGAGGAATTAAGCTCCACCTCTTGAGAGAGTATCACAGAATAAAAAAAAAAATTTATGTTTTTATTTAGCTGTGCTGGGTCTTGGTTGTGGCATGTGGGATCTAGTTCCATGTCCAAGGATTGAACCTGGGCCCCCTGTATTGGGCGTGTGGAGTCTTAGCCACTGGACCACCAGGAATCCCTATTATTACAGAATTTGTAGACATCTCTTTGAAACCACTATAGTCTGGCCACAAGTTATTTATATTCCTCCCACATGCAGAACACACTCATCCACTTAAGGAACTCCAAGACTCTTCTTCCATCACTACACCAGCTTGAAGTCCAGAATCGTGTCCTCTGAGTTGGGTCTGGGAAAGGAGAGGGGGGCTACACCAGCTTGAAGTCCAGAATCGTGTCCTCCGAGTTGGGTCTGGGAAAGGAGAGGGGGGCTACACCAGCTTGAAGTCCAGAATCGTGTCCTCTGAGTTGGGTCTGGGAAAGGAGAGGGGGCTACACCAGCTTGAAGTCCAGAATCGTGTCCTCCGAGTTGGGTCTGGGAAAGGAGAGGGGGGCTACACCAGCTTGAAGTCCAGAATCGTGCCCTCTGAGTTGGGTCTGGGAAAGGAGAGGGGGCTTGGGGCAGCTCCTTAAGATCAGCTCCTTGAGTTCATTCCTGCAAGCTGTGCGCCTGGAGAAAGGCTGTCTGCCCTCGCCCTCCCCCGCAGTGGTCAGCAGACATCAGACACAGGATAACTCCTCTGATACCCCTGTTCAAAAATGGCGAATTGGAGGCAGGAAGCAACCAGCGGTCCATGGCGATTCTAGAATCCAGTCAACAAGTTGTAATCAAGTTCCCTGATTGCATCTCTAGACCTGGGAATAATCTTTCGTGGTCCCCGACTCCTCCTCCAAACCCTTGGTTCTGCCTCCCCATCGACCTTCCCTCTTCACAAAAGATAATGCGACTTTGCTGTTTTCCTAACCCCAGTTCATAAACATTTCTTCTATACTTTTCCTTTTTAAAAATTTTATGTATTTATTTAGTTTTGGCAGCACTGGGTCTTCATGGCGTGGCATGGGCTTTCCCTAGTTGCCCCGAGCTACTCTTCATTGCGGTGCGCCGGCTTCTCATTGCAGTGGCTTCTGTCGTGGAGCACAGGCTCTAGGGGCCTGGGCTGCCGTAGTTGTGGTGTGCAGGCTCAGGAGTTGCGCTGCCTGGGTTTAGCTGCTCCCCAGTATGTGGAATCTTCTCAGACCAGGGATCGAACCCAAATATCCTGCATTAACAGCTGGATTGTAAACCACTGGACTGCCAGAGAAGTCCATTCTATGCTTTCTTTTAAAAGTTAATATTTTTATGTTTCACCTTTTAGTTTTTTATTACTGTCATTTTTGAATAAAGTGTGAAGTAGGGGTTCCTTGATTTTTTGACATACAAATGTCCAGTTGTTCCAGCAATGTTTTTTGTTTTTAAAGAAACTGTTGATTTTCCACGCACCTTTTTTGATTTTCTAAGGGTCTGAGGAAGAACAGCTTTCTGTGGGTTCCTGCTGTAAGGGATATGAAGATATCATCCTCTTTTACTTGTAGGACCTGAAGGGATGTGGACATGGTGCAAGTTTTCCTTTAAGTTACCATGGGAACCTGGAACGTCGCCATGTGGACCCCTCCCTGGATGTCTCGGGAAGTCGGCACCTTTGTGGAAATTCGACAGAAGTGACCCTGTGCCAGTCCCCAGACCAGGCTTCCAGAGGCTCTGCACGTTTCCTCTCTCTGGAACCCTCTCCGTACCCCGAGAACAAGCCCAGGTGAGGTTCCCAGAGAATGAAGGACCCTGGTGAAGGGAGAGAACCCAGCTGTCCCAGCCACGGCCGACCTAGACCATTCAGCCATTGCTCAAACACTCGAGGAGATCCGGACAGGAGCAGCAGAGTGAAAATTGATTCAGACTTTCTGGGAGAATTTTGTCATACATGAGCATGTTTAAAATAGGCAGTTTGATCCAGTCATTACAATTCCAGTATCTTACTCTAAGGAAATAATTTAACTAACATACAAGGTTACTTTAGGAACATTTTTTATAATAGCAAAAGTTTGAAACACTATGGAGTGCCTCACTAATGGGATGATTAAATGAGGGTGCACATACACAGAATAATACTCTGAAACTTTTACAAATATATAGCTGATGTGCAGGTGATACATATAGATGATAGAGCTCTAAAGGGACCTCTCTATATCATATACTTTAGTCAACGAAGCACATTAGAAATCATATATTTTATAGTATGCTGCTGCTGCTAAGTCATGTCAGTCGTGTCTGACTCTGTGCGACCCCACAGATGGCAGCCCACCAGGCTCCCCCGTCCCTGGGATTCTTCAGGCAAGAACACTGGAGTGGGTTGCCATTTCCTTCTCCAGTTCATGAAAGTGAAAAGTCAAATTGAAGTTGCTCAGTCGTGTCCGACTCTTCGAGACCCCATGGATTGCAGCCTACCAGGCTCCTCCGTTCATGGGATTTTCCAGGCAAGAGTAGTGGAGTGGGCTGCCATTGCCTGAGCCTTTATTTATTTATTTGGCCACACTGTGTGGCTTGCAAGATCTTAGTTTCCCAACCAGGGATCCAACCCAGCCCCCCTGCAGTGGAAGCCCAGAGTCCTAACCACCAGACTGCCAGGGAATTCCCAGTATGAATGTGTTTTTGAGTAAGACAGTCTGTAGCTGTATTTCTGCATAGAAAAATGTCTGGAAGAATATACATATAAATTATTAACAGGGGTTTCCTCTGGGGAGGTGTTACAGGTATACTTCAGTTTCCACAGTGTATCTTTGTGTATATGAATCTTTACAAATGAACATCCATTTTAATAAATCAATCATCAAAATGACATAATTTCCATTTTGGAAAAATGTCAATATGATGTGTATATGGCTGTACTGCATGTGACCCTTGCAGTAATCTGATTCTCCCGGATGGAAGCCTCAGGGCGGTCCTTAGGGAGCTGCTTGGTTTACAGGGTGGCGGACTGTCCCTCCTTTCACCGGGGTGTTCTCATCTTCCCGCCAGGTGGTGACGTGTGGACACACCGGAGCTGAAGCCCCGGCAGCAGGCTGTGTTTGCGAGAACAGTGGACTTGGCATCCGCAGACCTGGGTTCAGGGTTAGTGCTTGCTCCTCCTTTTCTTCTTTGGTTGCGCTCCGCAGCTCGTGCCATCTTAGACCCCCACAGGGTCGAGCCTGTGCCCCCTGCAGCAGAAGCGCTGAGTCTCAGCCGCTGGACTGCCAGGCAAGCCGCTTGCTCCTCCTTTTTGAGTTTGTTTCTTCCGCAGTAAAATCAGGCTTCCTTCATCAAACAATAAACATTTACTGAGGATTATTGCATGCAGGCCTTGCGGCTAGGTGCTAGGGGCCCAAGCTCCCGCCCTGCTTTTCTTCCCAGTGGTGATAGGAGAGTTAATTCCTACATGAACAAAAGTACATAACAGGAAATGGGATTCCAGGCACTGAGCTGTACTTTCAGCGGTTTCATTAAGCAGAAGAAAGGAGACTGGATCCATTATGAAGCAAGTGAAACAGTTCAGTGGTAAAGAACTCAGGCTCACTAGCCTAACTGTCTGGGCTCAAATTCTAGCTCCAGCAAGGTGGGGGGGAATCTTTTTCTTTTTTTAAAGTGGTTTAATGCCAGATGTTGTAAACATATTTTATTAAATTTTTAAATTTGTTTTGATGTATCTTTCTTATTTTTTGATAGTCTTATTTACTAATTTTTGGCCGCACTGGGTCTTAGCTGCAGCACTCAGGATCTTCGTTGTGGTGAGAAGCCTTAGTTGTGGTGCAGGGCTTAGCTGTTCCTGGGCATTGGGATCTTAGTTTCTGGACCAGGGATTGAACCCATGTCCCCTACATTGGAAGGTGAATTCTTGACCACTGGACCAGCAGGGAAGTCCCTAAGTTTTTTGTTAAAATTTTTAATTGAAATATATTAATAGTTGATTTACAATGTTGTGTTACTTTCAGGCATACAGCAAAGTGATTAAGTTTTACTATGTATGTATTATATATATTATTAGATTCTTTTCCATTATAGGGGGGTGTTGCTTAACATTTCTTTGATTCAGTTTTTCTCCACCTGTAACATAGGAGCAGTAACTGTATGCAACTCTTGTGGTTGTTGTGAAGATTAACAAGTTACTGTGTATAACACATTTGGCACAGTGCCTGGCACATAGTAGCTGCTCAATAAACATTAGCTATTATTGTTATTACTCGGTACAGAGAACACATTAGATCAGTTGTTGCTAACACAAAAGTGAGCAAGTTGAAACAGAGGGTCATCTGGTTATGACAAATTTCTGTCCACTTGTGGCTTCATTTATGTCATCTGACCGACTGTGTCAGTGACTATCTACTCTTTATTTTTTCAAATTTATTTGATTGAAGTATGGTTGATTTCCAATGTTGTGTTAACTTCTAGTGACAACCTACTCATGCTGGTCCATGAACATTCTCCTAAGACTGTATGTGCCACTGGCAAGAATGAGAGTCCCAGCTAGAGGAGTGGCTCTGAGAACAGTTACTGGACACTCCAGACCAGCTCACTGGGTCCATGTGGAGAAGCTAGAGTAGGTGGTTCCTTACTGGTGGTGACTGTTTCTGCTTATTATTTGAAGAGGTGTGGTTGTCTTTTTGTTCCAATCATGTATGGCGTCCATTCCCAAAGTCTTCACATGGCCCAAGATGGCTGTTAGATTTCCAGTTGTTCTATTTACATTTGTGTTTTGCTTAATGATTTATGCAATCTGGGTAAGTGAAGGAAATAAGTCCTTGTTTTGGGTTGTGAGCTTTACAGATATATTTGCCAATTTATTGTCTCTCGTTCTCAAGCTGTTTTTCTCACATGAAAAGAATTCTGCAGGTATCTTTTCTCAATTTGTTACACGATAGTGGGTCAAGAAACCTTTCTGGAAGAAGTGACTTTTTGTCTAAAACTCCAATGATCCAAGAATCCCACTCCTGGGCACATATCTGGAGAAACTCTAATTTTAAAAGTTACATGTATCCCAATGTTAATAGCAGCACTATTCACAATAGCCAAGATGTGGAAGCAACTTTAATGTCCATCAACAGGTGAATGGAGAGAAAGACATGGTATACACACACACACACACACACACACACACACTAGAATGTTACTCAGCCATAAATGAAACAATGCCATTTGCAGCAACATGGATTGACCTAGAGGTGATCATACTCAGTGAAATAAGTCAGACAAAGACAAATATCATATGATATCACTTATATGTGGAATCTAAATATGATACAAATGAGCCTATCTATGAAATAGAAACAGACTCAAAGACATAAAACATTTATGGTAACCAAAGGGAAAATGGGGTGGGAAAGGAATAAATTAGGAGTTCAGGGTTAGTGGATACAAACTACTATATATAAAACAGACAAACATGCTGTACTGCAGAAACTAACACAGCATTATAAAGCAACTATGTGCCAATAAAAATTAATATAATAAGTTAATAAATTTATTAATAAAGTAATTAACACAAATCAATAAAATAAACAATTAGGTCCTACTGTGTAGCACAGGGAACAATATTCAATATACTGTAATAAACCATAATGGAAAGAATGCAAAAAAGAAAATGTATATTATGTAAAACTGAATCACCTGAAACTAACACAGCATTGTAAATCAACTATGGTGGTTTAGTCGCTAAGTCGTGTCCGACTCTTGCAATCCCATGGACTATAGCCCGCCAGGCTTGTCTGTCCATGGGATTTTCCAAGCAAGAATACTGGAGTGGTTTGCCATTTCCTTCACCAATGGATCTTCCCAACCCAGGGCTCAAACCCGGGTCTCCTGCACTGCAGGCAGATTCTTTACCGACTGAGCTACCAGGGAAGCCTCCAAAATAGACTATACTTCAGTTAAAAAAAAAAACAATAATAACAAAAAGCCCAGTCCCATGGGCGAGAGGCTCAAGCCTGGTGAAGGGGCAGCGCAGAGTGGGGACATGTGTGCGCCCGTCTTGGTCGTGGTCTCGCTTCTTCTTGCAGCACATCTGTTCCATTCCCCTCCTGCTACTAACTTACCTCCTTGACCATGTCTGATCCCACACAGCTGACCTGCTCTTGGTGCATCCTGGCTGCTACGGTCTGATATCTGTGTGCTCTCAAATGCCTACGCTGAAATCCCATTGCCCTGTGTGATGCTATGAGGAGGTGGTGGGGCCTTTGGGGGGGTGCTTAGTTCATGAGGGTGGGGTCAGTGCTCTTGTAAAAGAGACCCCACAGAGCTCCCCAGCCCTGTCTGCCATGCGAGGACACAATGAGAAGTCTGAAGCCTTCGAGAGGGTTCTCAGCAGAACCTTTGATCTTGGACTTCCAGACTCCACAACTCTTAGAGATACATTTCTGTCGTTTCTAAGCTCCCAGTCTGTAGTTTTCTGTTCCAGCAGCCTGCACAGACTAGGACACAGGCCTGGACTACTCCTTTCAGCAGTAGCTCCTCTCTCCTGCAACTGGGCTGTCTCAAGGGTCTCCATTTTTTAGTCCAAAGTGAGACTTGGCTGCAATGGCTCATCCAGTCACAGGTGGACTGGATAGGATGAAATGGTGGTGGCTGAGGTTCAATGATATGAAATAAGATGATGGCACCTCCCCGCTTGTAGCTGGACCCTCAGGTGGCAGGCCCCCATGAGGGGTGCTGTTTGGGGATGTAATGATGGACACATTGTTCAGCATGTGCCCACTTCCCTGTCCTCACGTCAATAAAGGGCTTCACACACACTCACACACAGACCAGCTGGCTCAGGCAATGTTATGCTGTGGTAACAAAATGGTTCCTAAAATCTCAATGGCTGACAGCAAAGATTTTGTGCATGTGGGCAGTCAAAGCTAACTGGCTTCACCTCTGTCACACATTTCCTTAATCCAGGACCCAATTTGAAGGACAGCCTTGAACTGAGACATGCTGCTCCCCTAGCAGGAGGGGGAGAAAGATGGTGGAACCATATGATGGCTCTTAGACTTATGTTTGGATGTAGTATCTATTACATCTGTGCACAGTTCACTGGCCAAAAGAATTCCGTGGCCAAGCCTGAGGTTCATGTGGAGGGAATATATTCCTCCCATGGGAAAAGATGGTACTTTGAACCAAATAAACATTCTCATCCCAGCCACTAGTAACATTAGTTCCATTTTGCAGGTGAGAAGACTAAGGCTTAAAGAGGTCACTTGATCAAGGTCATAGATTTGAATTCAGCCCTGTCTGGTTTCAAAGTTTGGTCCTTTCTACCATGCAGTCTCTGGGGGGCAGGGGGGGTTGGAGAGGGTTATTTCTTTTTATACTGTGTGGGCAGTTGGGATTGTAATTTATTTGGGGGCATAACCATGTCTCATCAGCCCCAGAAGCTTCTCCATGAAAATTTCTAAAACTGAACCACCTCTGAAAGCTTCCTGGAAGGATATGGAGCTAGAAAAGGGTCAGACTTGGAGAACTGGCCCCATGAGAGCTGACTCTATTCCATTTAGTAATTTTTTAACTGTTTAATTATTTACCTGTGTTATAAGTTTGTAGATAGGGCCCACCTATCAATCTTTTTGTTTTCGTGTGTGTGTGTGTGTGTGTGTGTGTTGGGGGTGGGTAAGATCCTCAAAGCTCTTTTCTAGGTAATTTTTAGAAACTTCCAGATTGCATTGGATATTTATATGCACAAAAATGATGAGTGCAGTGGAGAGTGTAACCCATCTAATTTTGCAGAAGAGCATCAACTCAACTTTAGATTTAGAACCCCAGCTGCAGCAACGTGTGCCTTCGCTGGGGGCGGGGGCAGAAGTGACAGTCAATACACAGAATACTTTGCTCTGTAGGTATCTGTGATCTCTCCTGCTTTCAGTGCAGTCTCACGCATTTCGTAGCCTCTGGTTTCCAAGTGCGTCCGCTGTCTTGATAACACCAGGTATGTTTACGCGTGTCCATCAGTGTGGGGATTAGGGTGAGGCCAGAGCTGCGTCCAGGACGCTCAACTGAAGGAGGCGCTTGCAGGAATCTGAATACTCTTGCCCCACTCAAGTCCCGGCCCGGATGTCCACTGTGCATTCGTCACAAACTCCAATGGGTGAAAACGCCCCGGGCGAGTTTACCTGCCCTCTTCTCCCCTCCCCTCGCAGACGCGCAGGGGAGCCCGGAGGACCTCCTAGCCCTGTTCCTTGGCTCGGCCAGCGAGGTCGATGTCCAGGTGGCCGTGTACGTGTGTCCAGCCCAGGCCCGGTGCGTTAGACTGAGAGGAGCTGCGTGTGACCGGTGTTAGGCCGGGCGGGTCCATATCCGGGTGGACCCAGTGGGTGGGGCCGCTCCTCGAGCCAGGTCCCGAGGTGGCGGCGGGGGTGGGGAGTGACGCGCGGAGATTCCCTTTCTCACCTTCCCATCGAGAGGGGGCGGCAGGGTGTGGATTCCGGGCGTGCCCACCGTGCGGATCGCCTCCTAGAGCGCCCCGAGCCCCGGGCCTGAGCGGCCCCGGGGACTGGAAAGCAGAGAAGGAAAACCTGGAGGAGGGCTGGCCGAAGCGGCCACCCGCTCCGAACTTGTCAGGGAAACTAGTGCGGAGGGAGGGGCCGGGGCCGCGACGGGGGAGGGGCGGCCGCAGCTGCATCCAGCCCCTTTGGCTTCCTTCCCAGCGCTCCTCGCCTCCTCCTCCTCTTCCTCCTGTATGAGTCAGGCGTTTCCCGGGGATTTGGAGCAGCCACGCGCGGCCCGGGCTCCCGGAGCTGTAGCCGCCGCCGCCGCCGCCGCCGCCGCGCCAGGAGCCCCAGCGCCGGGGCCTCCACCGCGGCGGGCCCCCGCGTCCCGGGCGCGCACGGACCATGGAGAGGGCGGCCCAGGGCGCGGACAGCGGCGGGGGCAGCAACAGCAGCAGCCGAAGCAGCAGCCGCGCCACCTCGGCGGGCTCCTCGCCCTCCTGCTCCCTGGCTGGCCGGGGGGTCTCCGGCAGGTCGGCGGCCGCCGGGCTCGGAGGCGGGGGCAGCCGCAGCAGCCCGGGCTCGGTAGCCGCAAGCCCGTGCGGGGGCAGCGGCCGGCGGAGGGAGCCGGCGCTCGAGGGCGTGCTCAGCAAATACACCAACCTCCTCCAGGGCTGGCAGAACAGGTAACGCGCCCGCCGCCCGCCCCTGCCTGCGCGCCGCTCGGTGTGTGAGAGTGTGCGCGCGCGATCGGGCCGCGGGCGAGCCGGGGCGGCCTCGGCACCCGGGCCCACCCCGCGTCCCCGCTCCCCTAGGTGCGCCGCGACCCCACCCCGGGCCCACATCGCACTGGCGGGGAAGGAAGGAGAGTCTTGGCACCTGCAGGGACTGGAGCCACCGGCGAGCGCGCTGGTCCCCGGGCCCTGCCGGCTAGCGGCTTCCCGCACCCTTGGAGAAGGACTGAGCGTGGGGGGCAGGGGGCGTGCGTGATGCCTGTACGCGAGAGCTGGCCCCGTCACAGCAATTCTGTCTACATCCTAGTTCATTTAAAACTTTGTTGTTTAAAGACGCCACCACCCCCAGACATCAGCCAGTTATCCTCGGCAGTTTCCGGGGCGCGCGCTAGCCCCCCGCCCAGTTGGTGGCCGAGAGGCTCCTGTATCTGCGACGGAAGTTTAGTGTTGTTTTTTCTTTGACACTCTCTCCCCTTTCGAAATGGGCAGTTCGCTGTTTGAGTTTATTTTCTCCCTTAAGGTGTTTCCTGAAGTTCCCTGCTCACTCTGCTCTCCCAGTTGGGACACGTGGAAGGAGGGGTGTCAGGGCAAGGGGTCGCGGTGTGTGTGGACCGAGGGTGTAAGGAACACTTGAAAGGAGCAGATGGGGTACTGCCGTTTATGTGTAGATATGTGTGTGTGTGTGTGTGTGTGTATAGTTTTCAAAAACAAGTCAAAAATGCCAATATCCACGCCAGGAGAATGGGACTTTTTGGAGAGTTTGTTGATGAGATTTGTGTCAGGTCCTTAATAGTCCTTGAATATGAGGTCTTGTGGTTCTTAAAGATGCTTGCGAGATTTCCATCACATCCCCGGAGCTCTTGCTTATCTCGGCTAGTTACTAGAGTACTTGGCGGTCTCTCCCTGTGTAAGTTTCAGATTGTTTCCAGCTGAAACTGCAGGCAGTTATTTACATGAAGCTCTACTAGGACAAAGTGTTAGTGGATCAGTTGTGTCCGGACTCTTTGCTACCCCACGGACTGTAGCCCTCCAGGCTCCTCTTTCCGTGAACTTCTTCAGACAAGAATACTGGAGTTTGTAGCCATTTCCTTCTCCGGAGGATCTTCCCGACCCAGGGATTGTACCAGGGTCTCCTGTGTTGCAGGGGAAGGGTGACCTCCTAAGTAAGGAAACTGAGTTGATATTGTAGGCAGAGAACTTTCCCCAGAGTTTCCTTGGAGATCTAGTACTGTGTTAGAGGAAGTTGCACCTTGACTTTTGAGTCCTTTCATTTCCCAAAATAGCCCCAGTGTCAATTCTTGAAAGCTGAAAAGGATATAGGTAGAGTGCCAAAGAGGAGACAGAGGAGAGGACTGAATCTGATTTCAGGTCCTGGTAATTGCCTTGTTAATGGCACCTGGCTGGTGCCTTGCTTGTGATAGCATTTGGATTGTGTGTTGCACAATCACCTTTAATGCTTCTTTTTTTTCCCCCCCGGAAGTAATTTATGAGGCCAACAGAGCTTTTACCCTGGATTAGTTACTTCACTTGGGGATGGCATTTTACCTGCAGTGTATATTAAAGGATTTATTCTTTGGAGTGGATTTAGGGGTAATTGGAGTAACTCATGCTTTTGTGTAATTAAATCCTCTGGAGTATTTAGGTTGCAGGCCAGATTGAGAAGAGGGAAAATTTATGCTAATAATACTAATAACAGCAACAACAACATATACTTGATTGCAGGCTACACAGGTGAAATGTACTATGTATCCTGCTGAAGTCTCATCTTTACTGAATTTGTTTACTGTGGATTATAGCTGCCTGCCAATGTTTGTTCTTAACCACAGTAGACGCATCGGTCTCAAAGCCTACCATTGCCTTCAAAAGCATCGTCTCTTCCTAGTGGTCAATGTCTCAGCGTTGGGGTTGTTTCCCAGTGTGGCCGAAGGTGCGTCAGTGATCTGGAGAACATCTGTGATGGCTGTGCCTGCAGGCTTCTCTCTCCTCAAGGGGTCTTATAAAGGGGGATCTGGATCCGTGGAAAGGAACAGGGAGGAGAGCAAAGATGGAAACTCTGAAAAATATTCACTCATCCATTTACTTATTCAGGCACTATTTTATGGAGGCCCTACTATGTGCCAGGCACTGGGTCAGCTATTCTGGAGCTTCTGCCGTGTGCAAAACACAGAGGCATCTTTTCATCATGTAGTGGAGGGGTCACAGGATTCAAAAGTGGAAGGAACCCTCACCCCCCACCCCCCAGGGGAATGCCTTGGTGTGAATAGTTGGGCTGAGTCAAGCTTTCTGCATTTGGGGGCCTCGTGGCATGTTCCTTTGTGGTTTGTGTTTTTTTTTTTCAAATTGTCTGCAGTTAATGATGGATCTCCAGCCACGAAGTGCTTGCTGAGGCTGCTGTCTGTTGATAACACACCAGCCACCCACTAACAGTTTTTACTCTGGTGTCTGCTTGCACATCCCCAGGTTGTTGTAAAGCTTATATTTTAACGTTCAGTATCATATTCTGCCTTAATTTATTTGTAGTTCTCTTATCCTCATCCTCATATCCCGAGGAAGGCCATTGTGGCCAGAACACAAGATCGGTGACATAAAGAGGGATGGCAGGAGAGAAAGCTACATGTGTGGGGCTTGCCTAGGAGAGTACGTCCAGGACACTTGGTGCCCTCATTGGCTGAGAGGGTGCCACGTAATCAGGGTGGGGTGGGGAATCCCCAGTAAGGAGTTTCTATAACCCGTTAGTATAGTTCTTTAAAGAAAATCTTTCAGACATTATAGCATGGTAGAGATTTGTAGGATGGCATTAAAAAGTGCATGCATTCTAACTTGCTTCAGTCATGTCTGACTCTGTGTGACCCCATGGACTGTAGCCCCAGCAGGCTCCTCTGTCCATGGGATTTCCCAGGCAAGAATACCGGAGTGGGTTGCCATGCCCTCCTCCAAGGGATCTTCCTGACTCAGAGATCAAATCCTTGCTCACACCTCCTGCATTGGCAGGTGGGTTCCTTACCATGAGCACCACCTGGGAAGCCCCATTAAAGTGTAAATACCTCTAACAAATGAACACAGTTTCAGAAGGAGGTAGGTGCTCATCGATTAAAAATATATTTAGGGAATTTGCTGGTGGTCCAGTGGTTTGGATTCCATGCTTCCACTGCTGCGGGCCTGGGTTCGATTCCAGTATGGGAAATTAGGATCCCACAAGCAACAGGGCATGGCAAATATACATTTATGAAAGTGTGAAAGTGTTAGTCACTCAGCCATGTCCAACTCTTTGTAATCCCATGTGCTCCTTTGCCCGCCAGGCAATCTGTCCATGGGATTTCCCGGGCAAGAATACTGGGGTGGGATGCCATTTCCTTCTCATATATATATATATGATATATAAGATGATACATATGATATAAGATGATATATATCATATATACACACATATACATATATATCATATATATATATAAAAGATGGTGAAATAAAGACATGTATTTGTGGAAATTTGTGTGGATCTAGTGTCTTTGCTGATATTCACGTTTTAATCTAGCGCACGATCTTTCACCCACTTTTTAGTTTCATATGGAATGAGTGTACCAGGGGGAGAGTAAACCCCAGAGACTGGGGAGCCTCAGGCAGATGCCATATCACACGTGGCCTTGTAGGCAGGGGAAGGATTGAAGACTGTTACAGTTTCACAGAAGGATTTTAGGCAGGGAGTTGACCTGGTCTGTTTGGGACTTTCCAGAGGTCATTCTGGCTCCTGTGTGGAGACGAGATTTTCAGGAGCAGATCAGGAAGCAGAGAGGAGGGCAGCATGGTGGTCCAGGCAAGAGATGCCAGGGGCTTGGACGTTGGGGACAAGGGATATGGAGAAAGGGACAGATTTGGAGTGGGGAGGAGGGACAGTCCTGATGGGTTGGATGCTGAGATGAGAGAGCAAGAGGGGCCAAGGATAACTTAAACTTTTAAAAATTGAAATATAGTTGATTTACAATGTTGTGTTAGCTTCAGGTGTATAGCAAAGTGGTTCAGTTTTACATTTTTTTTTTTTTTTAATGTTCTCTTTCATTGCAAGAAGGATAACTCTTGAGTACGTAGGCTGGGAGGTTGAGGCATCCTTTATGGATCCCAGGGTCACAGGGGACGCACCTGCCTGTGGGTAGGATGGGGGACAACCAAGAGTTCTGTTTGCCTGTGTTCAGTTTGAGAGGGGTAGATCTAGCAAGGATTTGACAATATGAACTCTCATTTGCCCTAAGGCTGGTTTTAGTCTTTGGCTAAAACGGAACTGCTGTGGGGTTGGTTTTAACATCTGGTGTTTCAGGGGAAATAATTTCTCATCGGATCTGGGAAGTGATATTTAAATATTTGAGGGTTTTCATTGCCATTCAGTTTTTGATATTTGGAGGAAAAAAGACTGTAAACGTGAAGTCAGCCTCTGATTCTTTCTCGGGTGATTGGTGAGGTGGTGAGAACTCAGTAAACCACTGAAAGGCAAATCTTGAATAGGATGAAGAAGACGAGCGTTGGCATAAGAAAACCTCAGGCCAGTGGGCACACGTGTGGAAAGTTAGAGCATTTCAGACTCTGGGTCGAGTCCTGACCTCAGTCTTGAGCACACCTGTTGCCTTGGGCCAGTTCCCTCATTGCCCTGGGCTTCCGCTTTCCCACTTGTTTCAACGTCCAAGATGGTGTTACCTCTGCTCTGCTCCTCAGATCGGTAGAGGTCATTGAAGACACCGATATATAAGGGGCTGAGGATAGTTCAGGATCTCGGCAAGTGGGAGCTATTCTTGGATCTTCAGTTTGCCCCTTCTTTAGTGGACCCTTTCCGGTCCATAAAACTCTTGGCCCCTTCTTTGAATGCTGTGATGGCTCTGGGGTCCCTTTAGCATAATTATCACAGAGTTCTTTGCAGAGAAGATGATAGGTTCTTTGAGGGGCAAGAGGTCATTTAAAACTTG